GACTTACCATTTCTAGCAGGTTCAAGAGCAGTTGGCTGTGTTTTCTGACAATATTATATGCTCTACAGCAAAGCTCCACAAAATCTTGGAAATGTTGTGGGTTTTTTCCACCCTCTGTAATAAAGTACTCCATCTCCGATGTAAAAATAAAAGGGGCTCGGTCCCTATGAACCAAAAATAATAGCAATTGTAAGAGAAAGGAGAAATGGTTTGTAGGTTAAATTATGCAGTTGTAACTTATTTCCACTTGAATTTTGTTGTGATTTTTTCTCTTTCCTCTAATGGATGAACCTCCTTCATTGGTTGATAGCTGGAGAAATTTACTAATTGAGGGCTGCAACAGAGGAAAGGATATTATGTTACTATGTTGATTCATATTATCTCAAGTGTTTAATTCACAATTATATTTGAATGGGAATATCATCTATTAAAATATAAGATCAAATTAATAATAAGATAATATCTATGCAAAGTCTTTAAAGAAAGTATGTTTACTGTTAAATTTTGAAATTATAAAACAGATCATGATTTTGACCTTCCCATATTTAAAAAAAAAAAAATTCTTCTTTCTTAGAAGATAGCTTGACTTTTTGGAGAAAAAGTGTTTTCAGTAAAAGCTAAGATATTGTAATGAAAGTTCTTTTAGAAAGCAAATTATGAAAAAAATAAATGTTACCAATTTACTGTCATATTCTTAGTAGGGAAAAAGATAGCTATATGTCATTTCACACTAGACCCAATAAAAATGCTGATCAGGTAGGAAGAACAGGAACAGGCCATGTTGTTATATAAGTAATACTGCCCCCTGTAGTCTCAAGGATGGAAAAACCAGAGAGATGGTGATCCTGTTTCCATTTTTTATTATGTTATTTGAGAACTGGAGAGGCCCAAGATGAAGTGTTAACACTTCTAACAGAAACAGCAGAGAGAAGATTGGAGACACCTCTCTTGGATGAAGCTCACTCATTAGATAGTGAAATTATAAAACAGTTTTGATACCAGTTTGTCATGAGTTCTAGGAAAATTTATGGTGGGGATATAGTTTGGGGTAAAAATTATTTAAAAAATGAAGGTCTTTAAAAAATGGATTGGAATAAAATGTGTTTTGAATTTGAGCGTAGCAGCTTGCATACAAATAAGGTTAGACCAAGTCATAATAGAAAAGTTGCATATTTTGAGGTAGGCCTTTTATTTTTTAAAATAAAGAAGAGTGTTCTTTATTGTTGTTGTTTAGCTATTTTAGTAAAGATATAAGAAAGTGGAGAATCTCATGAGTCTGGCCTTTTAGAAGTATGGATATTTAGATCAGAAAGCTACAACAGGGGGCTGGGATTGTGGCTCAGCAGTAGAGCGCTCACCTAGCATGGGTGGGACCCAGGTTCGATTCTCAGCACCACATTAAAAAAAATAAAGGAATTGTGTTATGTCCATCTACCAAAAAAAAAAAATTCTCTCTCTCTTTCTCTCTCTCTCTCAAAACAAGAGAAAGCTACAACAGGTATTTTGTGGCAGACCTGAGGACATAGACTCCAACTGGAGGCAAAGCATTTAAAAAAATAAAAATAAACTAGCTTTGCTTGGCTGTAGTCATTTCATTTTATTTTAAAATTATATTTTGTGATCCATGTTACCACTGGCCATCCAGAAGAGAGGCTGGAATACAAAGACCTTTATTTTACTTTATATTCATCCACTTAGCAATTTTTTTTTTAAGTACACACTGAAGAATGTGTCTCAACTCCCAAGTCAAAATTCTCAATATTTGGTCAAAATAATTTTTAATGGACCTTTACTCACTTTCTAACCTATTTTCTATGAATTAACTTTATAAGTCCTTTTTCTTTGGCTAAGCTAGGAGGAGAAGGTGTTGAAAACACGAGATAAAGCATGTGTTCTGACCTTGGGCTTGGTATGTCTCAATTTCCTCCTCTTTAAATGGGTCCATAATACCCAGCTCTTAGAATGGCTGTGAGCACTAACTGGGAAGATGTAGGTCAATGCCTCACACATGGAGAGGGCTGTGCACTTGAGAAGAGCAATGAGTAGGGACACTGTAGGTAGAAAGAAGGGACTACAGGCCCTATGGGTCAGGCTTCAAATAGGTTCCTGCCACTGATGAGTTTGGGACCCCAGGAAGGTTAGCTTATGCAGACCTTCATCTCCTCCTCTGTCATATCAGGAAGAAAGCACTTGACTCCTGGATTGGATGACTTAAATGACTTAAAACACGTACAAGTGCTTAGAACACAAGCCTGACATACAGGAGGCATTCAACAAATTTTAGTTATTGTTGTTAGTTCCTAAATGACCAAGAGGATTCTCATAGCTGAACCTTGTCATAGATACATCTCTGTCTTCTGATTAAAAAATGCCATCCAAAAAAGGAACCTCATCTTTACTTTAAAGTTTAATTTATTCCCAGTGTCTCCACGGAACCTCTGTGCTGCATGAGTGGGCCTTTGAATTTGGAAGTATTTTTATATATCACTAACCTTGTAGTCATCACTACTGCTGACATGTAGTAGAGTTTAGTGACTTCCATAATCAGAAAAAAATCTTAATTTTATATGTTACAATTTTCCAATTTATTTTCCTACTTTCTATACTATGTTTACTACCTTGAATAGAACTTTGGAAATAATTTTACAAGAATTTTAAATTTCACAGATTCATACAAATTTCCCTTCTGATATGATAGATTTACTTTTTTTTTCTTTTCAATAGGAAAAAAATAAAATGGACCAAACTGATTTATCTCTTGGAAAGTTTTTGAAATTATGCTCAATTTCATGAGATAACACATCCTTCTTCTATGGAGCCACCATTATAAATCAGACACAGAAAAACCATACAGAAAGCAAGTATATAAAGAAGCATATCAAACCTAGAGAAAATTATAAACTAATCATAAAATTGGAGAAACAAATTGTATGTATAGACATTATCATAGTCTAAATGTTCAGTAAGTCCAACAAAATAAAATGCTGTATCTTTTCTATATAATTTTAAGGCATACTTCTAAGAATTTTTTAAAATTCAGAATTATACTAAAACTTTTCTATAAATGAAAAGAAGCCTCACATATGAAATAAAATCTGATTCCACTCCTGTAGGCTGTAGACGTTTTAATTGTGACTTAGTATCAGTTGACTCAAATGCACACCTAATCCTAGGTTGTAGAATTAAGGTTTTAGAGTGTATCTCTGAAATTCAGAATTATATGCCAATTTGATGTATAAATTGGTTGTGGCAAAAAGGAAGGTTGGAGATTGACCTATCAGAGTTATATTATTACATTCCAAAAATCATATGTTGAAAATATTTCATTTATAGTTATATAAATACACCATAGAACTTTTTTATTGTGACAATCCCTACATTAATTTCTAGATTAGTAGTTTTACCATTGTTTAAGTTCTAACCGTTCTCACTTTTGTACCTTTTTCCTGTATTTTTTCCCACTCAGTCTTATTTTCTCTTTCTTTCCTGATGCTCTAATGCTGATTTAGAGATCAAGGTCAAAATATCTTTTCTTACCAGAGGGAAGACATCTTCTCTAATTATCCCTTGCTAGAAGTCTTAGGATTTTTTTTTCAACCCAAGGGACATGTGTGATTTTCAAGAGAAAAGGAAGTATTCCTCCTTTCTTTTATATAGTCTTAGTATCTGATACAATATTTTGATGATATTCTCTTTTATATAATGAATGTAATAATAAATTAACACCATTCTACAGGGAAGGGCTTGTGATAATTAAACACTTATGTGGGAAGACCATGTAAACAAACTTATTATGATTCTATCATTGTGTTGTCAAAATTCAATTCTTTATAAATTTATGACAATTTTTTCCAGGGATGATTAATCTGCAAAAATGCTAAGAGTTTTTATAGATTTCCATAAAAAATGAGAAGTAAGTTAGTGGCTTAAAAAGTATATATATACTTGGACATTTTAGAATATTTATATGAAAGGCAGATAGTAATAACTAAGGGTAAATGAGTTCTCTTGGTATGAGAAATACCAATAACAGGATAGTTAATAACTTGGTCTGTGTTACTTTTGTGTCAGCTTTTCTTTAAGTTGTGTAATAGATATAATATTTTATAAAGTCATTAGAATACCAAGATCATTGTCATAAGCATTTATAGATTGCTGCTACACTGAGGATACATAGAGTTTTAGGCTCTATCTCTGCCTTTTAGATGACTTGAACATAGTTAGAGAGGTATACACTTACAGTTTTAGAGCACTAAAACCATTTGTCAAAAGATACTTATTAAGCATCTACAGTGGATATGTGCAAGGCTTAAAGGTGAGGTTAAAGAGCTTTAAAACCCATTGTTCTAAAAGCAACATAAATGTATTGAATAATAACAATAGTGTTTTGAAAAAATTGCTCTAGAAGTACCATGGAGAAACACTGGGAGGATTATGTGGGTAGATCAGAGGAGAGTTCTGCAGAAAGTTTGATCTGATATGATAATAGCTTAGAGGATGGTGGCATACAGATACAGGGAAGTGGGAAGACAAAACAAAAACAAAAACAAAAACAAAACAAAACAAAACAAACAAACAAACAAAAACTCCAAAAGAAATAAATGGGAAAGACTTCATTATGGTTTGGAATGTGAGAAATAAGAGGTGTCAAGAATAACTTTAAATTTTCTTTCCTTGTGTAGCAGAGAGACTGTACAGAACCTTTCAGAGTAGCTCAGCTGAGAGCTACATTAGAGGGACCTTGGAGACTTTCAAAAGTGGATGACAAGGAAGATATTTGTCTAGGACCTTAGAGAAAAGATGTAGGCTGGAGGTAAAATTTTGTGAGTCAATCTTCGGTTTCTGAAAAGATGAAGTAGGCATATTTCTCCTTGTTCCTCCCACTGACTACACTAAAAATCCCTGTAATTTATATTTAAACAAACATAAAATCACTCCTAAAGGCATAGAAAATAAGACACACTCCTGGAGACATCAATACTCAAGAAACAGCATGGTGGTATGTTCCCTGAGTTTTCCTTTGCCTTTAATATTCCAGGCAAGTGGCTGAAGAAGCCTACGATCTAGTATGTGCAGAAATACCAATGGGTGCAGACAAAAAATGGTTCAAGGGAAGCCTGTTCTCTCTAGCCAAAGTACCAAAAAGGGAAGCTTAACAAAACAT